AAGAAGTCACCCCAGTGGTCTGCCTGCTGAGAGCAGAAACAGATGGAGGATTTCATGAACTATCTTATCTGGGCCTTGAAGAAGCCTGGTGATGCTTTAATAAGTTGGGAAAAAGATGTGGCATCCATAATGTATCAGGAGCTATGCTGGGTGCTTCAAGTGCATCATCTTATTTTGTTCTCAGAATAACCCTAAGAAGGACATAGATGATCTTCTCATTTTACAGATAAGGTGACTGAGGCTCAGATGCTAAGAGACTTGGTCAAGTTCACATGTCTGTGAGCGACTCCAAAGCCCCGTTCTTCCTCTGGAGCCTATGCTGCCTGCTCGCCTCCCTCATTGAGCCTTATGAAGCTACTACCAGCAAAGGGTAGGTGGCACTGGCTTGGACCATGGCGTGCCTGTCTGAGGAGGGGCTCAGGCTGGGGGCTGGTTTGGAGTAGATTCTAGAGAAAAGAGGCCTGTGAGCTGGAAGATGCCATATTGTGGGAAGAGTGACTCTGCTGGGCTGTAACCCAGGCCACGAGCCCCACTTTCTTCCCCCTGGGGCTCCGTTCTCTGGAACAAAGTATCTCTGTGGCGGTCTCCCTGCCAGACAGTGAGACCCTCCAAGGCAGGCACAGGGTCTTCTCGCCCCTCGTGCCAACCCCACCATTACTGCCCATACTTCTTTACATCTCATCTTCTCTTTGCTATTAGATTTTCATCTCTTGCAAAAAATCTATTACGCTGACCACCAGGTAGAAGTTAGTGTGAATGACCGCCTCCCAGTATCTTACATGAAAACAGCAATGCACCTGGCCCTTTTCCAAGGGGGGGTCATGGTGACTGGTCCTACCTGTTGGCAGGGCCATTTCTTGTTCAGCAACATGAGTGGCTAGTCCAGATAGAATGCTGATTTATATCTACGTCACTACTATGGAAAAAATGGTGTGTGCGCCCCATTGTGCGGTATGCCAGCTGAGTCATTTAGCTAACAGTACCGAGTCCATCCAGGTTTACCAGCAGCATCAGGGATGCAGGTGGGTCATCATCAGTAGTTATGCATAAATAAAAGAGCTGGGAGGATTTCACAGAAGACACTTGATCTGCATCTTGACACAGAGTGGGGCTTAACTAATTAAGAGGAGAAGGCATTTGAGGAAGGGGAGCAGCAAGAGTGAAGGTTGTATTCAGCTTGTTTAGGGACTAATGAGGTGACCAGCCTGATGCCAGGGCCTTGGCATAGGGAAGGGAGGCAGGTTTTCCTGGAAAAGAGGTGGGAGCATTTAGAGTCATGGGTACCAGGCTTTGGGGCCCAGGTTATTGGAACTGAAGCAAATGTGCTGTGATGTGTACCTTCCCACTGCCCTGGAGCAAGTACACTGCAGAAAACCTCTGTCTCCTGGGGTTACGGCTCAGAGCCCCTGGGGACAGAAGAGCAGCAGCCCTCGTGCCAGGCTCTCTAGCTGTCCAGCCAGAAGGCCTGATCCCAAGACATCAGGGTTTCTTTTTTAAATCATTAGAACACTTGGGGATGTTTTAAAACAGCTCCCTGTTTAGGCCCTTTGGCAGCACTGGTTCAGGAAGCCTGGCCTGAGGCCTGACATCTGAATTTTCAGTCGCTTTGGTGATTTTGCTGTGTCCTGAGAGACACCCCCCCACCAGAGTGGTTGCTCCTTGAGGATAGGAATGCCCAGCCCCCTGGGCTGGCCAGGGGCAGGGGCTCAGGGAACTACGGTGGGTGGCGGGATGGAGGGATGGATGGGTTATAGACCAGTTGAAGCTAAAGGAAGGAAGGTTCAGGGATGGAGGGGTTAGCGGCTCAGAAATGTGTCATTTCCCTGCAAGAAGGTTTAATTCTTGCTTAGTAGAACAGTTTTAAAGCACTTTCATTTTTCAGTGACACAGTTGCTCTGCACCAGCCCAAACTGTGTAATAAACAAACAAAACATATGAAGACACACTGGCTTTTCTCAAGTTAATACCACATTCCGTTTCCAGCCAAGAGAAAGCACTTGAATCTGATGGAGAGACCAGGTCTTTGAGAGCCAGGACTCGGACCGAAGCCGCTGGGTAACCTGGGTAAACTGAGGCCCAGGGTGAGGACTCCTTCCTCCAGATCACAAGGTGATTTGTGCTGGAAGCAGGTGTAGGACCCAGGCCTCTGACCCTCTGACTCCAGGATTTTTTTTCGAGTTAATAACTTGCCCAAGGTCACAGAGCTAGGAAACAGCAGGGCCAAGATGGGGGCCTGGGTTTGTCTGACTCCAGGGCCCATGCAAGGGCCTCTGCCTTTGAGGGGCTTCTGTTCTGAGTAACAGGCAACACCCAAGCAATAAGCAAAGTCCACAGTAAAGGAAGGTCAGGCTGCCTAACAACACTGCACCACACCTGGGGAAAACAGAAACAACAGGAAAGAGTGCTGTGCTTCCTCCAACATGTGTACTTGGCTGCCGCATAATTGTCTATTTTCTCATCAGTCTCCCTCACAGCTTGTGAGCTGCTCAGGGAAGGACCTCATTCATCTCTGCATCTGGCGTACCCAGGACAAGGCCAAGTACCCAGCAAGCACAATGCATGACTGTTGAATCCATTAATCCTCTCAACAAGTATGAATGAGCACCTATGATGCGCCAGGCACTGAGCGAGGTCCCGAGCGGAACCTCAAGAGAATATTGTCTCCGCCTTCACAGAGTTTACGGTCCAGTGAAAGATAGAGAAACAAGCTCACAATTAAATAGGTACAGAATAATAACATGTAACAAGTGCTGTGCTGGAAGAGAAAGAGGGCGTGGTGGGGCAGAGTGCGGGTGGTGGTGAGGGGGCCGGGCAGGGAGGGACGTTCTCAGGAGGGGACATGAAGACCTAAAGGAGGAGGAAGGGGAAGACATGTAAAGCGTTGGGGAAGCACGTTCCAGGCAGAAGGAACAGCATGGGTGGAGACCTTGAGATGGGGGAGGATTGCGTCTGCTTAGTAAACTAAGAGCCCAGGGAACTGGGGTGAGTGAGGTACGAGCTGAGGTGGAGTGGAGGATCCTGCAGGGCCTCCCTGATCAGATGAAGAATGTGAGGGTTTATTCTAAGTGCCATGGAGGCCATAGGAGGGTTTTAGATGAACGAATGGCATGGCCTGATCGACTTTGCACGAGATATCCTGGGCGCTAGGTGGGGAATGGAGGGGAGGGGAACACAGACCGAAGCAAGAGACCAGTGAGGTTACTGTGGAGCCTGCACCTGCGTGGTGGGGGTGACGCTGGGTTCCATCCAGCTGGGGGAAGTCAGCTGGAGTTGCTCTAAATAGCTCTGCGGGAAAGGGTGAGCAAGGAGGCTTGAATCCCCGGGTAGACGGAGCTGATGCTCACTGACAAGCAGGAAACAGGAGAAGGAACGGGTGTGCTGGTAAAATCTCCAGTAGTTATGATGAGTTGAAATGCTGGTGAAACATCAAGTGGTGGTGTCAAATGGGGAGTTCGAGCAGTGCTCGGAGGGGAGGTCCGGGAGGGAGAGCTCTGTCTGAAGTGCTGGGCTTGCAGGCGGTATCTTAACGCTGTGAGGACAGATGGGAAAAGGCCTGAGAAATTGCCAACGTTCAGCGGCTGAGCAGAAGGAGAGAAAATGGGATGGAGGAGCAGAGAGCAGACAAAGCTGGAGAGGGTAATGCCGTAGGGAGGAGTGTTTCAAGAGGGAAAGGTCGACTGCTGTACCAGGTGTATCCACTCTGTGGACAGATCGTGTCCAGCAAGCACTCAGAGTGTCCTCTGGGGTTCACAGAATGGAGGCTCCTGGTGGCCTTGACAGATTCCCTGCCTCAGCGAATGACTCAAAGAACATGTGAAGAGGAGACAAAAACAGGAGTGGGCTGAGGAGTCAGGGAAGGCTTCCAGAGGGAGGTAGCAGTGGGGCCCTGAAGGCTGAGTCCTGAGAGACCCAAACGCTGCCTGCATTAAGCTGAACTGAGCTTGACGAAGCCACCTGTGGGCAGCAGAGAGCAACATTACCTGGCCTCCTGGGCCTGGGGAGCGTAATCTCCACCAGCCTAGAGGGAAAAGGGAGAGGAGCTGGCTGGCTCCTCAGCAGCAGGGAAGCTGGGGAGGCTGATGACCCTGCCCCGGGGGACAGAGCCCACGACATCCCCCAGGACTCAGAGGTTTGTCCACTTCCCTTCCTGCAGAGAAATCCTGGGAGGTGAGGATTCTGAACACACGGCCTCAGAGCAAAGGGCTCTTAGATACTGTCTGGAGTGGCCAACTCATTACACAGCTGGAAAATCTGAGACCTAGATGGGGCAGGGGCTTGCCCAAGGTCACCCAGCACATGAGTGATAGGGCCCAGGTGATCTCCAAGGACTTCCTGTGGCCTTCATCCTAGTGGGTAAAGTCTGAATTCTTTAGCCTGGTATTCAAGGTCTTTCGTGACTGAGCAAGAACCCATTCAACTTCATCTCCCGCCCACCGCCCTTACACCCTGTGATCAGCCCCGGCATCAGCTCACACAAATAGATAGCCTCCTATGATCCTTGCAGCAACCCTTTGGAGTAGGTGTTATTATTTTCCTTTTACAGATGAGGAGACTGAGGGTCAGAGAAGTTTGATAACCTGCCCAAGGTTGCAAAGCCAGTACACACACAGCTGAGCCAGGACATCATCTCACGAGCATCTCCAAGGTCATCTTTTCTCCACATCTTGCCGCATTCACCACAGAGTCCCTCCCTGGGAGCAATCCCTGAAATCCCTGGCCCCGAGCTACTCTGGGGTCAGGTCACGCCCTGAGACTCCAGATCGCTTGTTCAAGTCACTGAAATGTCCCCTGAATGGGACTGAAACAACAGGTACCACTGAACGACCCAGACTCCAGCAGCCCGCACTACAGCCCTGTCCTCCTAAAAGCCCTGCAGTCACAGCATGCAGGACCTGCAGCCCAGCCACCCCAGCAGGAGCAGGGCACCTGCAAGCTCTGTACAGAATCCTCTCCCCACACCCCTCTCTCCAGACCTCCCAGCCAAACACCCTGCCCCTCACCTGGAGACCACGAGTGGTAGGATCAGCATCTTCAGCATCCTCATCAGGAGCTCTCCAGGAAACTGGAAGTAACTAATTTCCTGAAAACACAGCAGGAGCTGGGGTTATAGCAGGCACACAGACTTCACAGCTGCTTTACAATCTTCAAAGCACCATTTCACCTGCATTCTCCCATCTAGCATGTGGGCAGCAGAATCCATGGGGAAAGCACTGGCTTGGCAGTCAAATAGACTTGGGTTCTAATCCTGGCCCCCTACAAGTTACTGTGTGGCCTTAAGCAAGTTACTCCACCTCTCTGAGTTTTTCTCATCTGTAACATGAAGTAATAGCTACTTCACAGGGCCGCTGGGAGGCTTAAATGAGAGGATGTGTGTAAAGCACTTGGCAGAACGCCTGGATGAGAGTAAATGGTCAGTAATCACAGTAACTAACAGCTCTCCCCCACCTCTGCTCCGTTCACCCACCTAGCTGTGGTATAAATCTGTCTCATGTAAGTGGCAAGAGGGCAGGGCTGCATAGTGTTCATACCTCCATTCAACCCATACTGTGCAAGGCATCATACTGGGTACCCAACCAAAATACTAACCCAATGGGTTAGGCCCAGTTCCTGCACCGGAAAAGTTGTCAGTCTGCTTTAGGAGGAGACGGCCTCATAAATAGACCATGGCATTCTTCTTTTTTTTTTTTGTATATATATATATTTTTTTATTGAAGTATAGTCCATTTACAATTTTGTGTCAGTTTCTGGTGCTACAGCATAATGCTTCAGTCATACCTGCACATATATACATTCATTTTCATATTCTTTTTCACCATTAGTTACTACAAGATACTGAATATAGTTCCCCGTGCTATACAGTATGAACTTGTCATTATCTATTACATATATATGTTAGTATCTGCAAATCTCAAACTCCCAATTTATCCTTTCTCACCCGCTTCACCGACCATGGCATTCTTGAGTCAGTTTCTCCTTCTGTCCTAGGTCTCCTGTCTAGCACCCCTCACCCTACACTTTCACAGATTCTTACCAGCCCCTTGAAACACTGCTCACATTTAAAATGCTGAAAAAGAGAGACTTGGATTAGGCTGGTGAGACACCACTCTGTATTAAAGAGCCCCTACTGAGCAGAGTTCTTGCCTCCGGCTTCCTCATAGGCTGCTGGTTCCAGCCTATCAACGGGGCCTTGGTTGAAGGCGTCAAGTCCTTGCCCAATCAGCTGCCTCCAGAGTAACTGGTCACATGACCAGAACCTGATGGCTGAAGAAGAAGGAACCCCTACACCCAGTTAAGTTTGAATTTCAGATAAACCACAAATATTTGTTCTTTACTTATACATATCATATATTATTACTTTACTTATAAAAATTATTTGTTGTTTGTCTGGAGTTCAAATTTAACTGAGTGTGCTGTTTTTAAACTTTTAAATTTAATTCAATGTTGCTATTTCTGGCAATGCTTGCTGGAGTCTGCTTCCCTCAGAGGGTAAGCTCGTGGGTAAGGCCAGTACATGGATTTTCAAACACCATCTGACTTAAATTTTTGTACTTGTTAACTGTCTTTCTTTTTTTTTTTTAAACCAAAGCCAAATACAACCCAAGGTTAATAGCCTGATGCTTTGAAAAGCCCTAAATTATAGAATTTTGGTGCTGAGAAGGGGTTTTAAAGATCTCTGGTTCAGTTGACTCATTTTATAGATGAAGAAGTGGAGCCAGGAGAGGGACGTGACTTGCCCACAGAGTGAGTTAGCCACAGTGCAGGCCTTCTGGTCCTGTTCCACTACCATTTCCAACGCACCAGAAAATCTACTTTTAAAAATATAACCATCATGCCTATGTCTTTTTTATTAATTTTAATCCTTGTGTATGTTCTTTAATTTAGATAGTACTATAACGATTATAAGGCAGCCGTTCCTCACCCATCTCTATCCTCGACCCCAGGAGTGACCATCCTTAACAACTCTAGCTGTTCCCCTAGGTATTGTTATCTGTAAAGAATATGGCTATAATGCTATTTCTAGATATATCTTTTTTTGACATCTGTTAACTTCCCTGCCATGACAGATGAGGACTTAATTCCTACTCCTTTTTTCCTCCTACCATTTCACTATTATATCGATTTTTGTTTAAATTAATTGCCAAGGTTTAAAATGTTTTGATCACAAAATATTGTTCACATGCCTCCTTTCTGTGCAACCTTCACTTTTTTCCTGAAGTTAATAATTGACTGATTTTTCATTTTCCTTGTTTTCTGTGACCCACTCATTGATTTCCTCCAAATGCTTTAACATCTCTTGTAAAATGCCTAACAATAGTATTTTCTACCTACTCAAACCCACACTGGTCCTTTTTAGGCCCCTAGGACCTCAGTCCAAGATCTCTCCATGCTCCTGTTTCAGGCTGGACAGGTCGCTCTCTAGCCCCAGTGGTTTTCATGGGTCTCCTCTTTGCTTTTTTTTTCTGGGGCTTTCTCCTGTGCAGGATCCCTTCTGTCCAGGATTCCTTGTCTCTTTGGTTTACTCCTTGTTTTGCTGGAACATCTCCTTTGGTAGCTTCCTCAGTAAGGGTGAATGAGAGAGAAACTTCTGAATCCTTACATAGTAAAAATGCCTTTATTCTACTTTTACCTCTGATAATAGATTGGTTATATATAAGATTCTTAGTTTAAAATAATTTCCCCTCCAAATTTCGAAGGCATTTTCTCTTTGGCTTCTAGATTCCAGTGTTACTTAAGATCTTTGGAGCCATTCTTATTTCCTATTCTGTACATTAGACCTGTTTTATTCCCTCAGAACCGTTTAAGAATCATCTGTTTATCTCCAGTTTTTCAGTAATTTTCATAGTGATGGACCATGGTATGAGATTTTCTTCTTTTTTCCTTTTTTCTACAATTCATAGTGCTGTACATACCTTTCACTTCTGAGAAATATTCTTGTGTTCTCTGTGACATTTTTCTCTCCTTTTTTTTTCTGTTAGCTCTCTTTAAAACTCTTATTAGTTGAATGTTGGACAGTCTCATTTTTTTTTCTATTTTCATCTCTTTTTGTTTTACTTTCTGGGAGACTTCTGCAGCTTTATCCCAGTGATTGCGTTTTTATCTTGGCTCACCTATTTTCAATTTCAAAAATCTCCTTCTTGCTCTTGGATTGTTTCTTCTTTTTACCTCCTGTTCTGTTTTATGGTCACTATATTTTCTCTCCTATCTCTGAAGAACTAAGAAAATATTTAAAAATCTCCCTTCTATTCCCTGCATTGCTTCTGCTTCACTGGAGACCCACTCTTCTGTTCGTTTGGTCTCCGTCTCCACGTTAGAAGCTTTGACGTCAGCTTCTGCTTGTATACAAGTGTGAGGCACTAAGCTTCTGTGTGTTTGAGTAGAACTTATCAACCGATGTTCCTCAAAGAAGGATGATGGGTGGGGGTCTGGCCTTTTCACTGCGGGAAGGGTGGGATAGGGGAGGATTCTCCTTCACATCAGAATTTGGAGGTCTTGTCTCTGAGGCTTCAGTGAGAGAAGTCCCTTCCTACCTCTGGCTGGGGGATGGGGCTGTGCCTAAGCCCAGCTGACAGCTATCGGATGGGCACCCCACACTCAGGATGCAGATGTCCACTGTCCACTAATTCATCTGAAGCATGTGCCTCACCACCTCCCCTCCCCAGCACACACAGATGGGCCTAATATCCCAAGTCAAGCTTCTCTGGTTCCTTGGGACAGGCAGGGGGATAGAGAGAGGGATAAGGAATCCTCCAATTACATGAACTGGAAGGGACCTAGGGGTCTAACTGCTCCAGTTACAACAATTCTAACCAGTGTCCCCAGTTTCAACTCCATGCTTGACCCTTGCCTCCTGCAGCGCTTGCACGTTCAAGTTCAGAGTCCAAGACAAACTCAAATGGCATCTACTTCTACAGACACATGATTTCAGCTTTCTGTGCTCTACCAAATGAGATCTTTCTACTCTATCCACATCCCATCTTGTCTAATTTATTGTAATCCCTCAACTTCTTTCCTCAGTTGTCTCCTTATATATCATCTTTGCTCTTGGGAGTTTGTATCTTTTAAAAATTCCATTACTATAATTTTGATGGAAATCCAGGAAAGGAAGGAAAATGGATGCAATTCTAAGTGCATCATGGTTTAACTGGAACTCTCAAAAGGATCTATGTTTTTAAATGAGAGACTCATCTTTAAAGACAAATCTTGGTAATTTTTGTCAGTTCTTTTCACAAATAGGACATTCTACCATTTTGCATATTGTTTATGAATTTTGCCTTATTGCATAAGCTTACAAAATAAGAAGGGTTTGGTTTCTGAGTCATAAGCAGAGATCAAACAAACAACTCCTGGATTTCAAAGGAAGATGCTGAGAAAGCCAATTCCTGCCAAATAACTGTTCTAAGACTCCACATCCTTCCTTCAATTTATCTGGCAGGTTAATCCACGTTTGTGTTTCCAAACAGATGGGGAAGGCAGCTTTGGCGAAGGAGGTCCCAGATGAGTTTGGCTTTTAATAGCAGGCATTCCAATTTGTTTTCACAAAATAATCTTCCTGCAAGAAATATATTTTAGTTGCTGAGGAAAATTAAAGAAAGGGGATTGCAGAATGTTTGTGCCGTTGCCAGTTTCATTCAGCAATTAGCTGAGGGTTCTCTCTGTGACACTGAGCTAGGCTCACATTTTGGTTCAAGAAAGTCCATGTGATATTCAGTAAGTCGAAGTCTGATGGGAGAAATAGACACTTGACAAATGGTTCTGAAGCAAGACCGCTAGCAGCTGGGTTCCGGCGGTGGAATGAGCATGGAGTAAGTGTGGGAGGAGAGTATTATTTCAGATGTGGGCAGGTCTGGAAGAATTTTTATAAGATATGGAATATATGAGGTGGTTCTTAATGTAGGTGGGACTTGGACAGGCAGGGAAGGGAGGGAGGAGTAGAGTAACACGCACTAAGCACCCACTGTCTCCAGGCACTGCTGAACACTTGTTACCCCTTACGACAAGCCTAGCAGACAGAGAGTGCCCTCCATTCCATTTTACAGATAAAGAAACTGAAGCCCAGAAAGGAGATAGGATTTTAGGGCCACACTAGTAGAGTCAAAGTTCAGGGTGCCTTTGCCCCCAGAGTCCATGCTTCTCCCTGAACCATTGATAGCAGCTTAACAATGTCACTAGAATAATTGGGCTCAATCCCCAGAGATGGGTGTTTTCCTTTTAATGGAAGATGGACTCTGATGCCTTGAGCCCCAGTGGTTGAGATCACATTGGATATCGCTGAGCTGCATGAAGAGGAGTTTATGAAATAGGGAATCTCCCAGGAGCCCATTGACAAGGACTCTCGCCGTGACCAAACTTCAAAACTTCAGATAGGCTATTCTGAGCCCTCTTTTCAACTAAGCTTCATCCTTGGGCTGATTCTTTGTCCTGCCTCACCTACATGTAGCAAAAACCCAGATAAGTCAATTTAATGAGAATCCAGCCCCCAACTTGGCCTTCAACAAGGGTCCTGTTAAGTGGGTTTAGCAAGAATCCCCCAACTCTACCCTTGAGGTCTCCTTTTAGTCATTTTCTCTCCATTGGCCCCTCACTGTGCTGATTGGCTGTAAATCTCCAGTTGTCTTTGTTTTACTTGGAGTTGAGTCTGATCACCCTCCTGTATGGCTGGAGCCTTGACGCCTATAGTGAATCGTGAATAGTCTTCCTTACCGATGGAAAGTGTCAATAATTTTCCCTTCATGCCAGATGAGTGGCTCTCCCTCTCCTGTAGGAGATGGTGCTAAGTGAGAAAAGGGCCCTTTCCCAGGCAAAGCATCTTCACTGTTGCAGTCACACCAGCCAGAGCCCTGGGGGCCTGCCTTGCCTCCCCATCCCCCAACTCCACATCCAATAAGCTGCTACATCCTGAAGCTTCCTCTTTGGAAACACTTCTAATATCTGCCCCATTCAGCCCCACTGTCATGTCTCACCCCTCACTTAGCCCCCTCCCTGTCCTACCGCTCCCCCCTCCTCCACGCAGCACCAGAAGAATGTCTCCCAGCTCAGGTCGTATCTATCACTGCCCTGCTCCAAGCTTCTCATGGTTGCCCCGAGTCTGTGCTCGGTGATGGGATCTAGAGGCCTGATGGCCCCTGTGCGCAGCCCCTGCCTCACAGCCTACATTCCAGCTGCAGTGAGCATCCTGCTCCAATGCCCCTGGAAGTCTTTCATGCCCCTCTGCCTAGAATGCCCTTTTCTGAGTCTGTCCATGAGCTGCTTTGGGAGGTGTTATCCGATGCCTGCTTTGCATGCTTAGGGACCCAAGTCTCCCCTCCCCGCCAGCTCTTAGCCTGTGGTTATTCTAATGAGGTATCCTTGCCTCTTAATCACCTGGAGATGCTGATTTATAGCTACTTGCCCTGTCACTCTAGTCCTGCAATATATTTGTCACATCCACGTTACAGATGAGAAAACTGGTACCCAGAGAGGTGAAGTGATTCTCCCACTGTCATGTCATCAGGGAGCCAAAGAGTGGGAATGTGACCTCCAGATCCCTCAGGCCCACCCAGCCCTCCAAGATGGGGACCTGTGATGCCCTGGGTGGCTGACCTGTGGTGAGAGGCGCCGGGTCCTTAGGAAGAAGCCGAGGAGGCAGCCCACGGTGACGGACAGCACAGACAGGATGAGCAGTCCATTCCGCCTGCAAACGTCCCGCCCTCGGGCCAGGATGGCACCCAGCACCATGGTGAGCCCAGCCTGCTGGCCCGGGGCACAGCACCATTCCATGCACGGGAGGCCAGCCCAGGCACAGGGTCCTGACTGGGGGCTCTGGCTCCTCAGAGGGCAGGTGGTCAGTGTTGCTAAGCACCTGTCGCCAGCCCCATAGCCATGGCCTGCATGGCTGCCCCGGAGGGAAGCCACAATCCTATTACCAGCTGCATCATTAGGAGCCGGGAGCAGATTAGAGCCTGGGAAATTAGAGCAGGCCACGTGGTTGGGGGTTCAGACCTCAAAGCCAAGTGCTCCTCTTAAACAGGGGAGGGGCCCAGGGACTGGTGGGAGGAGCAAGAGGAACATTTGGTTGGCTTGATTTTTACCTCCATGTCTTTTCAGAAAGAATTGAAGGCAAGGCAATAACTAGCAATAATAAGTAACAACCAACTAGCAACAATCAATAAATAACAAGGCTGCAGTCGCCAGCACTGAGCATTTATTGTGCACCATGTACTCTGTTCTAGGAGCACATTACTTGTATTAGCACATTTAATACTGACACAAATCCCAAGAAGTAAGTACTACAGATATCATTTTTTACACTTGGGGAAACTGAGGCAAAGAGAGGCTGAGGAAAGAGTATGTGCTATGTGGCAGGCCTGCTCTAGTTGCATTCCCTATGCGAACCCTCGGGAATCTTCCCAACAACCCTAGAGTTCCAACCTTCATTTTACAGAAAGGGAGATTGAGACCCAGGAGCCAGGGTCCCTTGGCCATGGTCACAGAGCTAGCAAGAGGCAGAGTGGAATTCAGGCCTGCGTTGCTTTGGTTTCCACCACATGAATAGGTGGATGGGTTCAAAGATGTTTCCCAGTACCATGGGGAATGTAGGCTTTGAGTCCAGTGGACCGGAGCTCCAGTTTGGGCTCTGCCACCCCCTGTGATGTGTATATTTCAGGGCTGCTTTAGTTAAGCCTGAAGCTGGGAACCCTGTAGGTTCTCAGGGCTTGCTATTTTTAAAGATGACAGAGCCCTAAGGACCTACATTCAAGTCCTAGCTCTGCCACTTACTAGCTGTGTGATCCTGGACAAGCCATCTAAGCACACAGTGTGCCTCAGGGTCCCCCACCAACCAGACATAAAAATAGCATTTCTTTCCTTAGGGCTGGTGCGGCGTTCCATCCAGAGAATGCTTGTGAAAGCAGTGGTGAACTGCAGTGTGCCAAGGAGGGGAAGGGCTGTTAGGATCATCTTCTACATTTAGCTGTTTTAGAGAAAGGGGTTTTGTTTATTTGTTTTTGTTTTTGCTGTTTCTTGTGGCCTGGCCTGCCCTTTAAAGCCAGAGGGAATTAACTCTCGTCCGTTTCACTGGGAGTCTGTAATCTCATTAGGGGCAGTCAGGTGGCAGCAGGGAGCGCAGTGGGTCTGTGGTAGGGCGGGGTGTGCACAAGTTGGCCTCTCCTGACAGAGAGGACAGAGCCAACGAACAGCAGAGTGAGGATGGGGGCTCCGGGTGGAGGGGACCAGGGTGCAGGCCCTGAAGCCATGGGCAGAGCCGCTGACTGGGAGGGGACCCTAGGGTTCCAGTCTCAATTTAACCAGCTCTGTGAACTTGCCCTCTCTGGACCTCAGTCTTGCCTTCCTTAGAATGACAGAAACAGCCTAGGTGTTTTCTAAGGATCCCTCAGTTCAACAAGTCAGTCTTCTAAATCCCCTGCTCACTGCCAGTAGCTTTCTGGGTGAAGGGATTCTACAAGTCTGAGTTTTTCTTCCTTCAGCTCCAACAAGTGCCTCATTTTCCAATTAACCAGGTGGTTTAATTACTGTCTAGAGGGGAAACCATTCTGAGTAGATATTTGGATTTGCATTTCAACCAATGTCCAGGCCTGGCCTTTAGTCATGCCATGAAGTAGGTGAATCTTGCTTTCCACTTCAGCTCCAAGACTCTGATTCCCATGGGGCCCCCACAATCATTTCTGCCTCCTGTCCCTCACACTCCAACACGACCACCACCTGCCTTCCAGACTCCAGGCCTTTCTATCCATCATTCCCACTGTCTTCAACAGGGAAAGTTACAACTCATTCAGGCAAATATTCTTATAGCACCATCCCTTGTCACCCCTCCTGGGTACTAGGGACACAGCAATGAGTTGATACAGTACTTGCCCTCAGGGAGCTTATAAGAAAACTGAGGGGCTCTAAGCGAGGGCTAATTCACACTAAAGTGTAAGGGACTGATAATGAGTTTACTAAGGATATTTGCAAATCAAAAAGAAAGGCTCTTGGATAAGAACTCTTTAATAGTGCCCATTGCCCACAGAATCAATGGCCTTACAATGTTACTAGATATGAAAAACATTTTTTCCATAATTAAAAAAAGCTGGATGAAACAAAGTTAAGCCTGTTCTTTGCTCAGGAAAGTCAGACTGTTCAAGTTCATATCTTAGCTCTATCACTTACTAGCTATGTGACCATAACCACTCTATAAACTTTCTTAAACTCTCTATAAAATAGGAATAACACAATAGTACCTAGTTTATAGGGTTGTGATGTGGGTCAAAAACAGTGATGCGTGCTACACGCTTAGAGCATTGCCTGGTGCCTTGCAGACACTCACAGGCAGTTACTATTCATTTTAGCAGAGCCTTTACAAAACTAACATTTTGGAGGAAGTCTTCCAGTAGTGGGTACAGAAGCAAAGTTCTCTTCTGGAGCAGAGAATTCCATGGGTCTGGGGTTTGGGGAACACACTCTGGAACATTCTAGCCTCCAGAATGAAGTCCCTGCTCCTTAGGGACGTGTGTGAGGTCCTCAGGGGCTTGTATTTGCTCACCTCGCCCCTTCAGCACACAACTTCCTCCCGCTCATTTTACCTCCAGCTTCTATAATCCAAACAACTTGGAGTTCCTTCAGTCTGGCATCCTCTCGCAGGTCTCAGCACCCGTGCCTGTGCTATCTCCTCTGCCTGGAATGTCTCTAAAGGCCCAGGTCAAATGCCCCATCTTCCCTGAAGCCTTCCCTGATCACCCCAGATACAACAACCCCTCCTCCTCCCACTAACTCAGGCCCCTCCTCAGTCACCACCTGGGATTAACCCCAGTTCCCTTGTGAATGGCTGTGACAAGGAAGTAAAAATCTGTGAGAATAAAATGTCTCCATTTGTTACCATGTCATTTGAAACAACTTGATGGATCATTCTTAAAGTTAGAGGGTATACTGGGGGGAGCTGGGGGCCCCAAGGAGCGAGGAGTTGCCCTCCAGAGCAGCTGAAACTGCTGGGCAGCAGGACGCCCGGAAGATGCTTCCTGGGAGACTTGAACTGCACGGATTAAGATATTATTGGTAGAAAAGATACAGAGTGTCGTCAAAAACGAGCCCCAAATCACAAGGGCAGCTGCCCCACTCTGCAGAAGTGAGTTTGCAGTTGGGCTGTGCCAGGTATGCCACGGTGGAAACTAGCAAGGTCAAGGTATTTGCTGATTATTAATGATTCCCCAGGGTCAATAGAGGGGCCGACTCAGCCCGGGAGGCATAGGAGGGGTGGGTGTAGGAGGGGTCATATAGTCAGAGACCTGAATAAGCCAGGAGTTAACTCAGGAAAGGGGGTGTTGGTCAACGGGGAGGCAAGAGGAGAGCTGGTTTCAAAGAGGGGCCCAGGCTGGAGGTCCGAGAGCTGCTTCTGGGAACCAGCAGGCCTGGGGCCTCACCCCCTCCACCGTGTATCAAAGTGAGTTTAGGTTGAGCTGTCTGAGCTCCCAGCTGGGTTTATGGTGATGACAGCTCTGGGTTTGTTGGCTGCTTTCCAGAGACATACCAGAGGCGCCTTAATCTCCTCCCTGACACGTCTCCCCAGTTCACTGTAGGCTGGGCCCTTCCCGGAAGGTTTCTGTGGACAACCAACCCAACTGGGTGTGGATTCCTGTGAGTGTTAGTCACTGAGGGGCTGTCCGACCTCCGCTGAGGCTGGTCCTCTCCGTTGTTTGCATTGGGGGATGGGGTAAAGTGATGCTTCGGTGATAGGCACTCTCACACCCCCTTCTTCTTCCCTTTCCAGCCCCCTACCCACATCTAGATTCCTCATCTGTAGAAATCAGGCCGGAGCACCTACAAAACCACTCAGCTGCTGTTGAGCACCTACTATGTGCCAGACTCTGCCAAAGAGCCTCGAAACAGAGGGCACCAGTGACCGGTTCAGCCCCTCCATAGGCAGCAACTGAATCCAATCAAGTGTTGGGGTGCAGGGGAAGGACACCAGTTCTGGATCTGTGCACACCAATACAGCAGCACTATTTAAAGTGAAAGTAGTGAAAAAGAAATAAAGTGTAAAATTCAGTTCTCTAAGATGAGACGAGTTGTCCCAGCTCAAGTAATGAGGCAGGAAAAAAGGGGACAAATTCCTCCTTTCTCTGCCCTTTTGTTCTGTTCAAGCCCACAAAAGATTGAAGGATGCCCCTCCCCACACTGGGGAGGACAATCTACTTTACTCTGCTGATTCAACTGTTAATCTCAGCCAGAAACACACAGACACACTCAAAAATAATGCTTGATCAGATAGCTGGGCATCCTCTGATCCAGTCAAGTTGCCACATAAAATTAACTATCGCAGTCTCTGAAAAAAGTTTCTGGTCACTGGATGTATATAGGACTTTGACAAGGACACTGGTATCAAACCAATGTTGTCATCACTTGAGCCATTGAATCAAATAAGTGGACTGCTAGCCACACCCGTGTAAATCTGGGACTAGATTTGTTCAAGCACACACACTTAAACTTACTTCGGTAGAGTCTTCTTCACTGGAAACACTAATCAATCTGCAATGAGATTAAAATATTAAGATAATGAGGAGAATAAATGTCCTGCTTTACACAGAAAAAAAATCAATTCTCTGGTTGCACTAGCCACAGTCCAAGGGCTCAATAGCCTTATGTGGCTAGTGGCTACCATATTGAACAGAGCAGATACAGAATATTTCCATGATCATAGAAACTTCTACTAAACTTTCTAGAGTCACACTGAGCTGAATTCAAATCTTAGATCTGGGGGGAGGATATAGCTCAAGTGGTAGAATGCTTCCTAGCATACACAAGGTCCTGGGTTCAATCCCCAGTACTTCCTGTGAAAATAAACAAGTAAGTAAAGAAATCTTAAAACTTTACCCTAGAAGCTAAGCTAATTAGTGAGCCTCTCTGAGCCTCTTTTCTACATCTATAAAAGCCTGTGTTCTCTACATTGCATCG